GCTTAACACCCTGAGATTCACCTGTAACAAAAGACTCATTTCTCGGGTGAAGTAAAGCAAACTCATCAAAAGTAACATCTCTGCTGGTAATAAACTTAGGTGATTTAGGATCAGGACACCACAACCTGTATCCCTTCACCCCTGATGCATAGCCAATAAAAATACATTTCTTGGCTCTAGGCTCAAGTTTTTCTTCATTAACATGAGCATAAGCAAGACATCCAAAAACTCTTAAATTAGAATAATCAGCAGGAGTACTAGACCATACCTCTTCAGGTGTTTTGCACTCAATAATAGTCGATGGTGACTTGTTCACCAGATAGTAAGCTGTGTTGACTGCTTCAGCCCAAAATCCCTAAGACAACCCAGCATTGAAAAGCATACAACGAGCTATTTCCAAAAGAGTTCTATTTATGCGTTCTGCTACACCATTCTGTTGTGGAGTCTTTCGAACTATATGGTGTTTGACAATGCCTTCATTACTGCAGAACTCATCAAACTCTCCTGAGAAAAATTCTAAACCATTATATGTTCTGAGACGCTTGATCTTCTTTTCGGTCTGCTTTTCAATCATGGCCTTCCACTACTTAAACTTAAGGAACACTTCATATTTCCAGACTTTCCTGAAGAAGTCATTAATGAAAGTCAACATATATCGAGAACCACCAAGAGAGGGAACTCTGGATAGACCCTAAAGATCTGAATGAATGTAATCAACAGTGCCCTTGGTCCTGTGAATAGCTGTACTGAACTTGAGTCTTTTCTGCTTGCCAAAGACACAATGCTCACAAAAGTCCAGCTTTCCTGTCTAGCAAACCTCGTTTGCTCAATTCTGTCAAACCCTTCTCACTCATATACCCTAAACGCATATGCCATAGATAGGTAGTTTCTGAATCTTGATCAACTGAAGAAGATACTGAAGCAACGCCTGTTACAGTACTGCCCTGCAAAAAATGGAGGCTTTTTCTCTATTTTCCCTTAAGCATAGTAAGAGCACCTTTAGAAACTCTCAAAACTCCATCTTCAGCTGAAAACTTGTAACCATTAGAGTCAAGAGTACCAAGAGAAATTAAATTCTTTTTCAAATCTGGAACATGCCGAACATCAGTTAAAGTTCTAACAATACCATCATGCATCTTAATTTGGATTGTGCCTATTCCAACAGTCTTACAGGGATTGTCGTTCCCTATTAAGACAGTACCACCATCAACAGAACGGTAAGTAGAAAACCAGTCCCTATTGGGACACATATGATAGGAACAACCAGAATGAAGAACCCATTCACTACTAGAGTGACAATCACTGACAGAAATTGAAAGAACATTTTTGACATCCGAGAAACTTTCCTAAGTAACCCCAGCAATATCAGAAGAATTACTAGCGGATTTATCCTTAGACTCATTTTTATCCTTTTTATCTTTCTTCTTATTTTTTAATTTTGGACAATTCCACTTAATGTGCCCTTTTTGGTGACAATAATAACATTTAATATCTTTATGAGACCTAAATTTAGATCTCGATTTGCCCCTACTACCAGAACCTTTTTTCTCAATTCTTCCCCTCACAACCAGACCCTCGGCTTGTTCATCTCCATTATTTCCAGACACCTTTTTTCTTAACTCTTCAGAGTTCAGTGAGGATTTAACATTCTCCATACTAATGGAGTCTTTTCCATAGAGCAATGGAGTAACAAAATGCTCATAGGAAGGAGGCAAAGAACACAACAAAATAAGGGCTTGATCTTCTTCATCAATTTTAATATCAGTATTTTTCAAATCCATAATAATAGAATTGAAATTATCAATATGTTCCTTATGAGACATACCTTCCTTCATACGAAGGGTGTAGAGTCTCTGTTTTAGGTAAAGTCTGTTAGTGAGAGACTTCGTCATGTACAGACTCTCCAATTTCAGCCACAACTTTGCCGCCGTGTCTTCATCAATAACTTCACGCAGCACCTCATCGGCAAGATTCAGGAGAATCGCACTGCGCGCCTTTTCATTGACCTCATCCTTGTCTTCATTGAACATAGTTTCTGGCAACTTGTCCTTCCCGAGCAACACCTTTTTTAGACCTTGCTGGGTTAGTAGGGCCTGCATCTTGATGCGCCAAAGACTGAAGCTAATCTTGTCATCAAATTTCTCAATCTCGTATCTAGTCGACATCTCAAAAAACTCCCCAAAAAAATTTCTTGATGAATAGTACCATATTTGTGAATAGTACCCAAATAGTATGTATGAACAGTACCGTATATGATAACAGTATCTGTACACAATACACGAACCGAACTTTGATACCAGTTTGTTACGGAAATAAGGATCGAATAGAAGTTTATGAGAACAAGAGAAAAATAAATGACAAGAAAAATAAAAAAAAAATTAGCACACACAAATGAGACAAGGATTTACGTGGTTCGGCTGTGCCTACATCCACGGGGAGAAGACAGAACAATATTTCACTATGGAAATATAGAGATACAAAGCTAAGTGGCTTATACCCAAAACCCAATTACACCCAAAACTTTCTCACTCTTTGCTTTTTTTTAACTAAGCAAATTTACACTCAAATTTGGATGCCAAAACCATGAGAAGGCCATGCTATTTATAGCAAAAAAAAAGTCATACTGTTGTGAACTTGGAGACCACGAAATGACTGGACTTGGTGACCACGCAATGGTCTGGCTTCTTGATTACAAAACTTGGAGGCCAAATTTGATGATGCAAGGAATGAAGTAAATGGGTGATGCAAAAGTTGATGTCATGGGTGAGTGAGAGTTTGTTTGAAGGGGAGTGCTGAAAAGGAAAGATTCAGTAGTAATACTACCAAATATTACAAATATTATTAGTTGTAAATATAATATTTGGAGGATATTTGCTGTAAATAGAATATTGGTCAATGTAAATTAAGAAATTATTAATTAGGCTAGTTAGTTATGTATGTGTATTCTTTCCTATAAAAAAAATCCGTGTAAACTTATGAGTTAATACAGAGAGAAAAGATTTATTCCATATTTCTTTCCTTTCAAGTTCATATGAACATCACAGAAAATCTCTCGTCTTTGAGTTGTGAACTAGGCCCCTATGTGGTAAATGGAAGGAAAGAGAGATAAAACCCCTCAATCAATTCCATTGTTACACATGCTATTGTTACAGATGCGATTTTCAAAAAAAAAATATGGATTCTTCCTTCGATTCAGATATTAAAAGAGAAGAGTTATAGGACGCAAGCAACGAACAGCTGTATTGGCGCATGTGGGGCGCACGATCTGAGGAAGAAGACTACTGCCTTGCGCGTGAAAGATTTGCAGTTACCGGCACGTGTTGAAGGCATGAGTCGCCGCCACTGCCGCAAATCATTGCCACTGCTTCAGATCGATTTACTGATGACGAATTGGTAAATCCATGGCCGCCACCTGCAAATCAATTATATTTTAGGTTTGGTCTGTTTTTGGTTATACATACATTTTTAGCAAATAAATTGTTTATCACGACTTCATATTTTTTTTTAAAAATTAATCTTCATGAGCAAATCAATTATATAGCCCAAAATATCTCTTTCCCCTCTTTTTCAACCTGCACCTTAAACCTCAATTTTGGTTCCTTCAATCCTACTTTTATACGCCGATCCCTTTGACTAAAATTTTCGAGAGTAATGATACAAAAATATTGAGGAATGTTTGTTTCAATTTCAATGAACAGAGTCCAATCCAGATTTTATAAAATTTCAATTCACATTTATATTATTTTCATTCGAAAAGTAATGTAGATCATGATTGGTCGAATCTACCTATTTGTAATCCTTTTTGGAGTACTAAAACCGATCGATACTCCTCAATAACCGATTTCATTACAACTTTGCGATGGCAAACTTTGGTGTGAACTTGGAGTTTGCGGGTCAAATTTATCTAGAATCATGAGACTAAGAACTAAAGATACGGGTCAAATTTGTTATTTGTATAAATCATGTGACATGAAAATGGCCCTACACATATATCCCATACGTGTATAAGAAACGATGAGGATCAATAAACATTTAACAAACCTCTACCATTGATTCCTCACCCTCTCTTTCTCCATGGATTCCGACAAGAATGAAGTAGCCTACGAGGTGCTCCCGCTTCTCCGAGTATACAAAGATGGCCGTGTCGAAATACCAAATTTGTCCCTTATTATTTAATTCAAATATATTCACATAATATCGGTAATGTTAATTGACGATAATGCCCCACAATTACCCAGATTAACAATACACTTACATCTTGCCATATCCCTCTTCACATTTACATCAGCCCTTTAACACCAACACCAACACCACAAGACCAAAGCTTACAAACCGTGACTTTCCGACGATGGTGATTGAGGGAGTTTCTATCTCTTCTTCCAGACGAGCCCTTCCTCGTCCACCACCCAACCCTTTACCTAGGACACTTACATATATGGGGATGTCCAGTTAAGGTCAGGGTGTACAATCTTATAGAGAAAAAGTTAGACTTAATGTGATATTCTCAAATTTTCAGATGCGGGTTAGCCAGCCCACGCCCTAATGCCCGAGGATATAAAAAACAAATAGCAATAATCAAACACAATAAATAAGAATAATTAAAATGGCTGAAAGAAAACTAAAACGATAATCCAATAAAGAAATTCTCAGAATAAATTTTTATAAATAAGAAAATATTCTGATACATCCAATCTTCTATTATAAATACAACTCGAAAATTCATACTATGTGGACCCCTTAATTTTTATAATCATGATCGGTTGAATCTACCTATTTGTAATCCTTTTTGGAGTACTAAAACCGATCCATACTTCTTAAATAACCAATTTCATTACAACTTTGCGATGGCAAACTTTTGGTGTGAACTTGAAGTTTGCGGGTCAAATTTATTTAGAGCCATTAGCAGAAGAACTAAAGATACGGGTCAAATTTGTTATTTGTATAAATCACGTGACATGAAAATGGCCCTACTCATCCCATCCGTGTATAAGAAGCGATGAGGACCAATAAACATTTCTAACAAACCTCTACCATTGATTTCTCACCTTTCTTTCTCCATGGACTCAGACAAGAATGAAGTAGCCTGCGAGCTCCTCCCGCTTCTCCGAGTATACAAAGATGGCCGTGTCGAAAGGCTTATGGGCACCACATATTCTCCGGCATCCACCGATCCTATAACCGGCGTTTCCTCAAAAGACCTAACAATCGTCCCGGAGACCGGTGTCTCTGTTCGCCTCTACCTCCCTAACCTCACCACCACCACCACCAACCAAAAGCTCCCTGTCCTAATATACTTCCACGGCGGCGGTTTCTGCTTGTCCAAACCCTCCACTACCCACTACCACATCTACCTCAACAAGCTCGTGGCCGAAGCTCAGGTGGTGGCAGTTTCAGTGGACTACAGAAGGCCACCTGAAGACCCTCTTCCCACTGCATATGAGGACTCATGGGCTGCACTACAGTGGGTGGTTTCCCACCGGGACGGTGACGGACCGGAGGATTGGTTGAACCACCATGCAGACTTGGGAAGACTTTTCTTAGCCGGTGTGAGTGCCGGTGCGAACATAGCTCATAATGTGGCAATGATGGCCGGAGGTGCCGGGTCCGGGTTGAATGCCGGAATTCTTGGTATGGCGTTGGTTCATCCTTACTTCTGGGGGTCGGATCGTATCGGGTCGGAGGCATTGCATCCGGCTAAAGATGCAACGTCTCGGTTGTGGCCATTCGTGTGCCCATCATCACCAGATAACGATGACCCGCGGAATAACCCGGTGGCGGAAGGTGCCCCGAGCTTGATGGGGTTGGAGTGTAGGAGGGTGCTGGTGTGTGTGGCTGAGAAGGATTTGTTGAGGGATAGAGGATGGGTGTATTATGAGGTGTTGGGTCGGAGCGGGTGGATGGGTGTGGTTGAGATCCAAGAGACAAAAGGAGAGGACCATGCATTTCATCTGCACAATTTGGAGTGTGAGAAAACAGCAGAGTTAATCAGACGGTTAGCAGCATTCTTCAACAGGGACATGCCTCGTTTGCTTTGATATCCATGCACTTCAATGTAATATCACAATTTTTTTTTTTGAAAATGTAATTAATATACCACGTTCATTTTCTTGAGGAGAGAAACGCGCTCGTTTATCGATCCGTAAAAAAATTTTAGCGGAATTTATTCAAAATCTCATCCAAAGTTTATATTTTTAATGCCCCCATTTTCAATATGAGGCTGCTCTCTTCAATTGGAATTTTACAAATAATCAAGATGAGGTATATGTATATATATATATATTTTCTAGTTTGTTTGAATTTCAGTTGCCTAATATTTGAAATTGCTCAACTGTTTGAATCATTTTTGCCTAATATGGCAAAAATGATTAACAAACAGTTGAGTAGTTACACACACACATATATATATATATATATATATATATATATATATATATAAGGAAAAAAACCACGTAACCCCTGTACTTTCATTTTCGTCCAAAAAGTTGCCACTAAAATTAAACACCCCGAATTAATAAAACCAATCAAGTTGCTCCTAAATGACAAAATTGCTCTTATAAGTTAATTGTTAAATTAAAAAAAGTGGGGTTCTTCTTCTTCACCCCGATCCTCCCAAACTATCTCTCTGCAATATGGGTTGATATACTTTAATTAGGCACCAGATCTTATTCTTGCTCACGAATGCTTTCATACCCAGCATGGGTTCTTCTCTTGAACACTTCAAAACCATGCTAATCACTTGAATAATCAGATTTCAGCTTCCGAGCCTCGAGTTTTCTGATCTGGGTACGTCAAATTCCTCTGTTTTTTCTTTCATTTTCTTGTACTTTCTTTTCTAATGTGAAGCATTTTCCTAAAAAATTGAGGTATTTTATTATTTGGGTTTTCTTGTTCTTGCTTTGTTGTTGTTTGGTTGACGATTGATTTGATGGAAGAAGATCAAGGATCAAAGTTTGTTTGCAAAGTTTGTAACAAGAGGTTCTTCAGTGGAAAGTCTTTGGGAGGTCACATGAGGGGTCATGTAGCTATGATTTCAACTAAAAAAATGTGAAACTCGCAGAGAAATCAATATGGGTAGTGAAGGTTTTGGTCACACTGGTTATGGCTTAAGAGAAAACCCCAAGAAGGTTTGAAAGGTTTCATATTCAAACACTAGTGATTTCAAGCAAGAAAACTAATTGTTGATGGTGTTGGGTCTGGTTCGGGTGTTGGGTGGTGGGAGTTGAGTTGGATTTAATACAAAATGGGAAAGCAAATTGGAGTGGGAAGTGACCATTTGAACAGAAATTGCAGCAATTTAACAAGGAAAAAAAATGCGTGATGGGTCTGGTTTTAGAGTAAGAGGGGCGAAGAGGAAGAAAGGTAGAAATTGCAGCAACTTTACAGCTTTAGATTACACACGCCACCTTCATTAACTTCCCGCATCAAGTTTTCTCTGCTATCAACCTTTTCGTCCGCCGGAGAGACACTCCCGGCAAACACCACCGGCGACATCACCATCTTTGCCTCGCTGCCTCTCTCTCCCCTCTAGAGTGTATATATATATATATGTAAGTAGTGTAAAATCAAAGAGAGAAGGAATATCTAGAGTGTATATATATTATTGTAATTTTACAATTAATTTATAAGGGCAATTTTGTCATTTGGGAGTAACTTGATGGTTGTTGTTAGTTCAGGTGTTTAATTTTAATGCAGCGGGGTTATGTTATTTTTCTCATATATATATATAAATTGTAATCCACACAATCTAGATTAAAATGAAGTGGATGCAAAATTATTAGACACTTATCATTAATGCACATTTTATTATGATGGAATTGTTAGGTATCGTATAGTACCGCAGTCCAACGGGCGATATGGGGACCGACTACTAAAGAATGGGCTAAGTTTTTTGTGGCACCGCAAGATCGTTGTGACCTATACTCTCGGTGCGGAGTGTCAGCCATATGCAACTCTTACAATGCCATGGAGTGCACCTGTTTGCCTGGGTTCGAACCCTAATGATTGGTTCATAAGGTGTGTGGAGAAGGAGAAGAGGTAGGCGTGGGAAGGGTGGTGGTGAAAGATTTATAAAACTAGGAAATGTGAAAATTCTAGAGGCTAGAATATCATAATTGTATAAGAACGTGAGCTTACAAGAATGTGAAAAGGAGTGCTTGAACAAGTTTAACTACACGGGGAATGCTAGTGCCGATATCAATGTTGGGGAACGCGGTTGCTATGCATGTTTTGGTGAGCTAAATGATATTCGACAGTACAATCAAAATGAAACGAACAAGATTTTTACCTCCACTTGAGCTTGGTATGCATTTTATTTCTCTTCACACATTAGAGCAATGATTTTTTTAATTTCCATTTTTTTTTTTGTGTCGATGAAGTAGAGCAAATGAATGTTTAGCTATTCGATCATCAATTAATGTTTGGTGAAAAGTAGGTTTGGACCTTTTTGTTTTTTAGTATCTTTTAGTTAAGTCGCATTAAATACCTAAATATCACTTTGACATTCACAATAGTTTTGTAAGTATTTTGTTAAGAGTGAAAGTTTTATTGAAAAAATTAGTCTCTGTTTCAACGTAAATTGTTTTTTTTTTTTTAAATAATTTTTTTTTTTTAAGTAAAATATTATTCATTTATTTATTTTTAATATTTGGTAAATGTCTAGTTAGGTTGAAGTCGAGTTCATAACATAAAACATGTAAAACAATGTCAAAAATTGAAAGATGGATTATTTTTTTAGGTTTTAATTTTTTTTTTTTTTTTTTTTTATAAATATTTTACAACAACTAAATAAATAATAATAACAATAAAATTTAAAATATTTTACGTCTAGACAAATCAAGCCAATTTCCTCTTTTACTTTCGTTAATTATGACTGCCTTAAGAACATCTGAAATGATTTATGGCATTTATAATATAAAAAATCAAAAGTCCAAAAGTCCAAAAGTCCAATGCATGGAAGTCAAGAAAAACAGTGAGTCAGTCCACTGCGGGGAGGAGTAGGTTCAGTACTGGCACCTAGACATTTCCAAGTTGTACTTATATCATTCTTTTAAGTTACGATTTTTTAAGTAGGATATTTAATTTGAGACCGAGATAGTAAATACATTGAAAGTTACTAGATAAGAAAGTTGGTGGTTTTTTTTAGTTATTTTTATTTTTTCCTAATACGGTAGATTTTTATTTTTATTTTTATTAATACGGGTGTTAATATGTTGATACATTGACGTGAGTTTACTTGTAGAACTAGTTGACCTAATTTTATATGTTTTTTTTTGCCAACTCCCACTTGCCAAGTGGGAAATTTATAATCTTTAAGACGATAGTAATGTCTACCAACCTCACAATAATTTGGTCATAAATAATAAATACTAAACCAATATATTGCATATATGATGTATGATTAGATAGACATTTTTATATTATATACACATTAATATATTGTATTGATATTTATACGAAATACTTGTAGCAAATTGTCTAATTGAATAATTTTATTTTACTTTTTTATTTGTTGCATAATTCATCAATTAAAAGAGTAAATCTAACCGAATAACTTTTGATTGATTATTCATACTAAATACAAGTAAGCAGCAGAAGACGGGAAGAGGAAGACGCCCCAGAAAACTAGAGCATAGGACTATGGAGGTATGGCATTTATCATTGAGCTCGGAAGGCTCCAATCACAAGCCACACGACCTCGAAGTTGTACAATCAATGTGGTGAACAGTAGAGAGCTTGCACCGAACACAGTCTTCAATCTGCTTGCAAAGCTCCTCCACTGTCAAGCGCTTCCAATTAAATGTCCTATTGTTCCTTTCTCTCCAAAGATACATAGTAAGCAGTCCCAGCATACGCCATAGCTTTGCTAGATTTATTTTTCCCTTAAATTCACTAGATTTTTTTTTTTGCGTACAATCTGTGAAAAAGTTTTGATTTCACATTTGAATCTATACAGTTTAGTAGTTTGTGTGTATATATAAGCTGCGATCGATGTAACCCTCAATGAATAAACTTAAATAACAAAGAAACCAGTAGATTTTGTTCTAAAACTGTTATGTTGGTACTCATTCAGTTATTCTTCTGTTTGTTGTAACTGTATCATTGTATTCAGACCTCAAGCAGAAGCAAAAATATCGAGAAATATTACTTTTGGACTCCACAACTAATTTGACAATCAATAATTCCCCAAGTCCAAATAACCATGAACGGGGTGGGATGGTAGAATTGAAATTCTATGATCTACAAACTATAGCAGCAGCAACGGATAATTTGTCTCGCTAGAAAACTTGGAGAAGGAGGTTTTGGGCCGGTTTATAAGGTAATCAATCTTTCACCAAGTACTAATTAAGATTTATGTGGTTCTTTGATCAGCAAATATCAGGTGAAGTAATAATAAAGCAAAAATCAAAACCAAAAGCCAAATGAGTTTGGGTAAATTGAGTTCGATTTATAATTTTCATATTCATATCCCCTGTAAATTTAGGTTCCTTCCCAGACTTAGAAATGTTTGTTTTGGAGCAGAGCTTTCCACTTAGCTTAAATTACAAAATGTTATCTTTGTACTTCTAAAGTAAAATCAATTATATAGCCCAAAATATCTCTTTCCCCTCTTTTTCAACCTGCACCTTCAACCTCAATTTTGGTTCCTTCAATCCCCCGTTTTGCGCGGATCCCTTTCGACTAAAATTTTCGAAAGTAATGATACAAAAATATTGATGCATGTTTGTTGCAATTTCAATGAAAAGAGTCTATACAGATTTAATAAAATTTCAATCTACATTTATATCATTTTCATTTGAAAAGTAATGTGGATCATGGTTCGTGGAATCTACCATAATCCTTTTCGTACCGGTACTTCTCAATAACCCGAATTCATTACACCTTTGTGATGGCAAACGTACTTTGGTGTGAACTTGGAGTTTGCGGGTCAAATTTATCTAGAATCGTGAGACTAAGAACTAAAGATACGGGTCAAATTTGTTATTAGTATAAAATTATAAATCACGTGACATGAAAATGGCCCTACTCATCCCATCTGTGTATAAGAAACGATGAGGATCAGTAAACATTTAACAAACCTCTTGATTCCTCACCCTCTCTTTCTCCATGGACTCCGACAACAATGAAGTAGCCTACGAGGTCCTCCCGCTTCTCCGGGTATACAAAGATGGCCGTGTTGAAAGACTTATGGGCACTACATATTCTCCGGCATCCACCGATCCTATAACCGGCGTTTCCTCAAAAGACCTAACAATCGTCCAGGAGACCGGTGTCTCTGTTCGCCTCTACCTCCCAAACCTCACTACCACCACCACCACCAACCAAAAGCTCCCTGTCCTAATATACTTCCACGGCGGCGGTTTCTGCTTGTCAAAACCCTCCACTACGCACTACCACATCTACCTCAACAAGCTCGTGGCCGAAGCTCAGGTGGTGGCAGTTTCAGTGGACTACAGAAGGCCACCTGAAGACCCTCTTCCCACTGCATATGAGGACTCATGGGCTGCACTACAGTGGGTGGTTTCCCACCGGGATGGTGACGGACCGGAGGATTGGTTGAACCTCCATGCAGACTTGGGAAGACTTTTCTTAGCCGGTGTGAGTGCCGGTGCGAACATAGCTCATAATGTGGCAATGATGGCTGGAGGTGTCGGGTCCGGGTCCGGGTCGAAAGCCGGAATTCTTGGTGTGGCCTTGGTTCATCCTCACTTCTGGGGGTCGACTCCTATCGGGTCGGAGGCATTGCATCCGGCTAAAGATGCAACGTCTCGGTTGTGGCCATTCGTGTGCCCATCATCACCAGATAACGATGACCCGCGGAATAACCCGGTGGCGGAAGGTGCCCCGAGCTTGATGGGGTTGGGGTGTAGGAGGGTGCTGGTGTGTGTGGCTGAGAAGGATTTGTTGAGGGATAGAGGATGGGTGTATTATGAGGCGTTGGGTCGGAGCGGGTGGATGGGTGTGGTTGAGATCCAAGAGACAGAAGGAGAGGACCATGCATTTCATCTGCAAAATTTGGAGTGCGAGAAAACAGCAGAGTTAATCAGACGGTTAGCAGCATTCTTCAACACCGACATGCCTCATTTGCTTTGATATCCGTGTGTGTGTGTGTGTGTCAACTGGCAGTCTAGCGATGCCTGAGACATTATGTCACATGACATGTTTGATTCAATAAATTTGGGCTTATTCAGTTGCAAAAATGGGTCCAAATAGTATAGATTTGAATATAAATCAGAAGTTATCTCCTCAATTATGTACTCTTATACTATGGTACTTGTAATATAGTCATTTTGGGCAAGTAACATAGTCATTTTGGGCAAGTAACATAGTCATTTTGGGCTAAACAGAGGAGGAACAGATGAGCTCAATCCGACATATGAAATGTTTAACCTAAGTTTAACTCTAAGTATACCTTCAATTCTAACTACTCAACTTGAGCCCAACTCATTCTTATACTTTTAAACTCGGGTTAGCAATTCGAGCTTAGATTTTCGGGTTAGAAAGTTGGGTTATCCATATGGCAAATTTTCACATTGAAAATTTAATGTAATCTTGAATTAATTTTTGATTAAATTACTCTCAAATAAATTTTTTTTTTATTTGTAAATTTTTAATAAATTACAAACAAATTCTTACAAAATTAATTCTCACAAATGTTAACATACAATAAATTAAGTTTTTACGAAAGAAGTTGAAAAAAAATAAATGATTTTAATTTGAATATTATATATAATGCATTTAAAATAAAAATATACATAAAAATAATATTAGAATTCGGGTTTGGATTCAGGTTTAGGTTGCTAGGGTCTCGACTTAAATTCAATCACTTAATCCTAATTATGTTTAGGTTCAGAATTTTCAGCTCTAGTCTAGCTCTAATTGTAAAAATAATTACACAAGTCCACCAAAACTCGGGTTGGGCTCAGATTGGGTTCGGGTTGTCCAACCCAAACTGCACCCCCTACTTTTGGGTTGGGATATGAATACCCATTGCAAAGCAGAATGTAAATTTTCCAACCCTATAAGTAGCCCCCCAACCCAATTGGCTATATTCAAAAGTTAAGTAGCTCATTACAACGGCTAGCTAATGACTAACTTAAATTGGACCCTTACAGTGGAATGCTTTACGGCCCAATACTTTAGCTAGCGCGAATGGGATGCTTTTGACTAGGGGTGCATAAAAGAACCGTGGGACCGTGAGAACTGAACCAGAACCGAAGCTTCAGTTCCGGTTCCAGTCCCGGTTCCAAATTTAGGAACCGTGGGCATACGGTTCTGGTTCCGGTTCCAGCTCGTGGGAACCGGTGGGACCGGTAAGAACCAGAACCGTATATATATTATATATATTATATATTTAATTTTATATATAATTGTCTAAAATTTTCAGCGGCTCAGCCTCCCTAATTGCCTCCATCTCTATTCTTTCGACTCTGAACTTGCCCTCTCTCTTTCTGCAACTATAAACTACAAAATCTACAAGAATCAGAAGTTTAAAACCCATATATTTCAGATCTGTCTGTAAGAATCAAAAGTCCAAAACCCATATCGGCATATCATTTCAGATTGTTCAAAAAATCAAAACCCATATCTTTCAGTTTCCATCGCCCGCTGTTCCAGTTCGGGTTCGCAAGCTTCAGCTGCAGTCTCTTAACTCTCAAGCTTACCCCTCTTTCTCTACAACTACTAAACTTGCCCTCTCTCTCTACAACTGTAAACTACAAAATCTACAAGAATCAGAAGTTCAAAACCCATATATTTCAGATTTGTCTGCAAGAATCAAAAGTTCAAAACCCATATCGGCAATTCGGCATATCTTTTCAGATTATTCAAAAAATCAAAACCCATATCTTTCAGTTTCCATCACCCATTGTTCCAGATTGGGTTCGCAAGCTTCAGCCGCTGTCTCTCAACTCATGGTTAACGTTTCTCATGGAACCGAACCGGTTTGATTCTAATCTATACGGTTTCGGTTCCTTTTTTTAGGAACCGTTGTGAACGGTTCCGGTTCCGATTCAGACCGGAACTGTAAGGAACTGAACCGTGTGCACCCCTACTTTCGACCCTATACTTGGGTTGAAGTGTTGGGCTTCTGTATCACAACACTTTCAATAAATCACTTGCGAGAGACCAAAGTTAGGTCGTAGTGGTAAAGGCCTAGTGGGCGTTTGAGATTTAAACTTTCTTGTTTTTTTTTTTTTGTTGAACACTAAAACGGTATAAAAAGGTTTTGCTAGACTAACTTATGCTATGTTTGGTGTGTACGAATGGAATGCCAATTTTAACCATTTTTTTTTGTTTGGTATGCAATTTAAATTCCATTAAAATGAAAATCTATTCCACAATTAAACCTATGGAATGGTCATTCCATTCCCAAGTAATTTTTTTTTTTTTTTTTTGGGTTTAAATTAACTTCCCAAAACACCTTCATGTTCCAAGTACAAAAACTACCACTACCTTTAACCATAACCACCTCCTCTTTTCATCACCACTACCACCGATTTCTACCACTACCACCACCTTCCACCATAGACTTCCACCACTGCCCATAGTTTTCCATCGCCACCAACTTTCACCACCGACATCGCCTTCCTTTGCCACAACCACCACCACCACTGCCACCACCTTCCACTACCGCCTTTCACCACTGATATCTTCCATTACTATCACCGCCACCTTTCACCACTGATATCTTCCATTACTACCACTGCCACCTTTCACCACCACTACTACCTTTCACCACCGTTACCTTCCACCACCGCCACCACCACATTTCACCACAGCCACCATCACTGCCATCACCTTTCTCCACCACCACCACCTTCCGCCACCACCGCCACCTTTCAGCACCGTTACCACCTTCTACATCCACCACCTTCCATCACCGCCACCGTGTTGTGTGTTTTTGCATACTACTTATAAATTTACCATTCACAACAGCACGAATCCTTATAGAATAGCACTATAGAGAGGGTGTCGAACCCATAGGGAGATGAGTTATTATGTTTTGCTTTTAACTAATTTTTATTGGTCTACAGGTAACTGATTGAATTAATTGATTTGGTTGTCACGATTATAAACTATTAAAAATAAAATAAATACTGAAATTAAACTAGAGCGATCAGAGAGAGAAAGATCTTAGGGCTTTAACTCCACCACAACCTTGTAACTATGGTAAACTGTTTCAACTCTGGGATTTAATCATATGATATTTCAAATAAATTGAACTCAATAACATTCGTTCAATTCGGGTTTTAAAGAAAGATGTTTTATAAAATTCAGTTAACTATAACCTATCTGCGGTTAGCATGAACTATCTACCTATCTACTCTAACTACTTTGCAAACAATCCATCTTTCCTAAGTATAGATTATGAAAACATTCTTTTATATAAAATGTTAGAACATCATTACATGACCTCCGTTCTTATGTCCGTCAGGGCTTCGCCAAATACCGTCTAATAAGAATAGGTTGAGAATAGAAAACGAACAGTTATATCTAAGACAAGGTAATAACAATTTGAAAACTATTTAAAACATTAAATTCAATTGAATTGTCTCAATTGCTCATAGTCATGTAATAAAAAACATAATATATATTAAAACATCCCAGAGTTAAAACAATCAAACCATAGTACTAGATCGGGTTACATCAAAGCCCTAAGAGAGGAATTAGCTACTCATGACGAGGTCGGATATCATCTGTACTGTGGTTGTCTCCATCGTCATGGACGGCACTTCTCTTTTCAGGATCTTCACCTTTTAAGGTTAGGAAAACCCTAAAAGCCACTACACTATCAGCCTTCTGAATAACACCGAAAAAAGGACTTGGAATTCTAGACCTCTTCTATCAAGGCTTATGCCTTCTTTTATAGAAGAAAATAAGGATCTGGAGGGCTTTTAGGTCTTCTGTTCCATCTGTAGTGAAATACGCCTAAAAAAGGAATAATCCTGTAACTTGAAATCTAATCTGCCATGGAAACCTCGAGCTTTAAAAAGTTGTGCTCGAACTTTGAGGTTTAGGCTCGAGCTTTGGGAACAAGGCTCGAGCTTCTCTACATTCATGCTCGAGCTTCAAGGAATGGTGCTCGATCTTCACTTTGAAACCTAGCTAATTTTCTTCAACTATTTTTCAAAGCGTCTTTTCCTTCAACACTTAGAATATTTTTGGGATCGAAAGCTTTTAACATTGCTCAATCCAAGCTTCATGGGCTCAAGCACTAGGTACCAGGCTCGAGCTTTAGGTACTCAAGGCTCGAGCCTTAGGTACTCAAGGCTCGAGCCTTAAGTGATGGTGCTCGATCCTTGAGTCTTGGCACGAGGCCCTGGGACTTGGTTCTTCAATTTAAATTAACTCTTCAAATTCCGATGCCTTGTGGTCGAGCTTGAGGGACAAGGCTGGAGCACCCTTAGGTAAGGCTGGAGCACCCTCTGTTATGGCTCGAGCTTTAAGGTACAAGGCTCGAGCTTCAATGCTTTGCTGATTTTTCTTCTTTTCTTCTTGCAAGGCTCAAGCCTCTAGACTTGGGCTTGAGCTCTGGTTCTTGAATTCTTCCAAACTTTACCATTTAAGCTTTCGGCTTGCTCTGGATGACTGGCAATGACTCTGTAAGCTTTGATATCATCATAAAGTCACGGTTTTAACCATTTCTCGGGAAAAGTACCTATAAACACATATTAAACATAAATCAGTCTAATCATGGATATAAGTATCACTTTAGGCCTTAACATACGTATACTTAAGGCTCGAATATACAAATATTTAGCGCTCATCACACCCCCAAACTTACATATTGCTAGTCTCTTAGCAATACAGAACTAAAAAGCCACTTTCGTGGGAATCACGGTTGCATTTAGCCTATGCAACAAGCCTTTAGACCCCTAGGTTACCCCTAGTGGATGAGTTATAGTCTCGTGAGGGTTTCCAGTGACAATACCCACAAACATATCAAATAGTGCCTTAATTGCACAATAAGCTCATTCAAGCCTATTTTCAAATCATAATATCCCTGCAGTTCATTAATCAGTTAATTATAGTAAGTACAACCAATCATATAATCAGAGAAACTTTCCAACTTCCAATTTTAATTTATCAACCATAGTCCCCATATATCAGTTTAATTATATATTCAATAATCTTAATCTCCAAAACACTTTTTGATAGTGATCTTACAATTTAACGTGTGGCTTACTGTCCATACTTGCATTTATTTCTTATTATTCCTCAATTCACAGACAAACTTTTCAATTTCTAACTCCCAAGGCATTATTATTTTCTACAGGTATGCATTTTTTAAAAAATGATATTGTGTAATGTTCAGGTCTATTAAACTTTCTAAATTACCCATGTAAC